CAATTATACCTCAATAAAGTTGAGTTTAATCTATTAAAAACCGAGTGAAATGGCCCAGGATATACAAGAAAGAAGTGAAGGATAGAAGTAGGTATCAGGCCAGTTCCTCAATCAGCATGAGGACAGCACAAAAACTCATTCTTCTATGGCTCTACCTCCTCATATGTGTAAGCTGCACACTATGGATTGTTACCCCTGAGTTTCTACATCTTTCCCTTCCCTCCTTCATTCTCCTCCTAGAATCAACAGATGGTCCTCACTAAAGTTCTTGCAAAAGCTAACAACAGAGTCCTAAGAGCCAGCCCGGGAGATTTATAGCATCAAAGTTTTCCCTTGGGGCCACTAACTGCTGCCACTCTTCACACCCACCCTAACCCCTACCACAGGCATCACTCTCAATACAGAATAGAATTTAAGTGTTCAATGAACCCAAGGTAAATATGCTTGCAGGCCCTAGAAGGAAGAGCAGAAACACATGGGTTTCAAAGACAACAAATTCAACCAAAACACAACCAAAAATGTTGGTATGAAGTCTGTAGGATCAGAGACTATAAATGCTAACGGCTTTTGTGGAAGCAGCTACAGAGGCCTATAAGTGCATAAACTGACCAAGAACCATAAATTCAAGCTGCAAAAAGGAAATCTGTCAGCCAGGCATGAAACACATTCTAAGGAAGCAACCAACCTACTAATAAAAGAGTAACAAAAAAACAGATCACACACTTGGTAAAAAGGCATTTGGGTAATCTGTCAATTTAGAAAAAGCACAAGAAACTTCAAGTCTCTTAGTGTTCCAAACTATGTATAAAAGGCAAAAGCAAAGTAGCAAATACGGTAGAAGTGAAAACTTAGTCTCTACTCCTTGTGTATTTTTTCAAGGATGGAATATGTAACTGAGTATATTAATTCATAATTATTGAATTCTAAAAGGGAAAGGCTGGGGGCCTAGAGGCTGCTTTTTACTTGGGTATGGCTCTGTATTAAGGCTGGGGCCTGAGGTAGGCAGGCCTGGGGCTTGGAGGCTGCTTTTCACTTGGTTGTGGCTCTTTATTAAGGCTGGGGACTGAGGTAGGTAGGTCCAGAGCTTGGAGACTGCTTTCTGCTTGGTTCTGGCTCTCTATTAAGGCAGGGGTCAGAGGTAGGCAGGCCTGGTTCTAGTGGCTGCTTTTTGCTTAGGAGTGACTCTATATTAAGGCAGGGTCCTAAGGAAGGCAGGCCCAGGACTTGGATGCTGCTTTTCACTTGGGTGTGGTTCTTTATTAAGGCCAGGATCTGAGGTACAGGGGCAAGGGGTCTGGAGGCTGCTTTTCACTTGAAGATGACTCTATATTAAGGCCAGCGCCTGAACTAGGCAGGCTGGGGTTGGAGGCTGTTTTTCACTAGGTTGTGGCTCTATATTAAGGCAGTGGCCTAAGGTAGGCAGGCCCGGGGCTTGGAGGCTGCTTCTTGCTTGGGTATGGCTCTTTATTAAGGCAAGGGATTGAGGTAGGCAGGTGCAGAAGGGTTAGGAAAAACTAAGGGAGACAAACCTGTCTGTCAGTTTGTCCTCCTGTGGTGGCTTATGTGTTCCTGTGAGGCTGGAGACTATACCACCATGTTGCAAAATGCCAACAAGGTTACCCATGGTGGAGAGGTTTCAGTGCAGCTTCCAGGCTTAGACAGACTCGGAAGAAGGAAGAGACTTTCCACTTCTCAAACAATTTGCCAGTGAAAACCTTATGAACAGCAATGAAACACTCTCTGATGTATTACTGGAAAACTTTATAAACAGCCCTGAAACATTTTCTGACATAGTGCCAGAAGATGAGCCCATCAGATTGGAAGGCACTCAAAATTTGACTGGGGAAGAGCAGACTCCTCAGTGTAGAGAAGGCTTTATATGGACAGAGTAAAACTTTTGGGACCTCCACTGGCCGATTTGGCATGACTCAAAATGAGCAGAAATAGATGCAAGAATCCATTAATAATTAGAACATGGAATGTACGAAGTATCAATCTAGGAAAATCGGATGATGTGAAAAATTAAATAGAATGCATAAAGATTGATATCTTAGGCATCAGTGAGCTAAAATGGACTGGTTCTGGCCATTTTGAATCAGACAACCATATGATCTACTATGACTGGAATGACAAATTAAAGAGGAATGGTGTGGCATTCATCATCACAAAGAGTGTTTCAAGATCTGTCCTGAAGTACAACACTGTCAGTGATAGGATAATAGCGATACACCTACAAGGAAGACCAGTTAATACCACTAATTTACACATCAACCACCAAAGTCAAAGATGAGGAAATTGAAGATTTTGATCAACTTCTGCAGTCTGAAATTGATCGAACATGCAACCAAGATGTGTTTATTATCACTGGTGACTGGAATGCAAAAGTTGGAAACAAAGAAGAGTCACTAGTAGTTGGAAAATATGGCCTTGGAGATAGAAATAACGCTAAGATCATATGATAGAATTTTGCAAGACCAATGACTTATTCATTGCAAATACCTTTTTTTCAACAACATAAGCGACAACTATACACATGGACTTCACCGGATGGAATACAGAGAAATCAGATTTACTACATCTGTGGCAAGAGGCGATGGAGAAGTTCAATATCTTCAGCCAAAATAAGCCCAGGAGCTGATCGTGGAACAGACCATCAACTGCTCATATGCACGTTCAAGTTGAAGTTGCAGACAATAAAAACAAGTCCATGAGGGACAAAATATGACCTTGATAATACCCCTCCTGAATTTTGAGACCATTTAAAGAATAGATTTGATGCACTGAACACCAATGACTGGAAACTGGAGGAACTAGGGCATGACATCAAGAACATCATCCATGAAGAAAGCAAGAGGTCATTAAAAAGATGAGAAAGTAAGAAAAGACCAAAATGGGTGCCAGAAGAGACTGTGAAACTTGCCCTTGAGAGAATAGCTAAAGCAAATGGAAGAAATAACAAGGTAAAAGAGCTGAACAAAATATTTCAAAGAGCAGCTCGAGAAGACAAAGCCAATACTATAATGAAATGTGCAAAGACCTGGAGTTAGAAAACCAAAAGGGAAGAACACGCTCAGCACTTCTCAAGCTGAAAGAACTGAGGAAAAATTTAAGCCTCAAGTTGCAATATTGAAAGATTCGATGGGGAAATATTTAATGATGCAAGAAGCATCCAAAGAAGATGGAAGGAATACACAGAGTCACTGTACCAAAAAAGCTGGTCGATGTTCATCCAGTTAAGGAGGGGGCATACAATCAAGAACCAATGATGTTGAAGGAAGAAGTCGAAGATGCACTGAAGAAACTGGCAAAGAACAAGGCTCCAGGAATTGACGGAACACCCACTGAGATGTTTCAACAGATGGATACCACGCTGGAGGCACTCACTCGGGCTATCCCAAGAGATTTGGAAGACAGCTACCTGGCCAAGGGACTGGAAGAGATCCATATTTGTACCCATTCCAAAGAAAGGTGATCCCGCAGAATGTGGAAATTATCAAACAATATCATTAATATCATATGCAAGTAAAATCTTACTGAAGATAATTCAAAAACGGTTACAGCAGTATATTGACAGAGAACTTCAAGAAATGCAAACTGGATTCAGAAGAGGACATTGAGGGATATCATTGCTGATGTCAGATGGATCTTGGCTGTAAACAAGAATACCAGAAAGATGTTTACTTATATTTTATTGACTATGCAAAAGCATTCGATTGTGTGGATCATAACAAATTATGGGTAACATTGAAAAGAATGGGAATTCCGGAACACTTGATTGTACTCATGAGCAACCTGTACATAGATCAGGAGGCTATCGTTAGAGCAGAACAAAGGGGTACTGCATGTTTCAGAATCAACAATGGAGTGTGTCAAGGTTGCATCTTTTCACCATAATTACTCAACTTGTATGTTGAGCAAATAATCTGAGAAGCTGGATCATAGAGCAAGAATGTGGCATCAGTAATGGAGGAAGACTCATTAACAATCTGCAATACACTGACGACACGACTTTGCTTGCTGAAAGTGAGGATGACTTGAAGCACTTACTGATGAAGATTAAAGACTACAGTCTGCAGTATGGATTACTCCTCAACATAAAGAAAACAAAAATCCTCACAATTGGTCCAATAAACAGCTTCATGGTGGATGGAGAAAAGATTGAAGTTGTCAAGAATTTCATATTACTTGGCTCTACAATCAACACCAATGGAAGCAGCAGTGAAGACATCAGACGACGCAATGCATTGGGAAAATCTGCTGCAAAGGACTTCTTTCAAGTGATGAGAAGCAAGGACATCTCCTTGAAGACTAAGGTGCACCAGACACAGCCATGGTATTTTCAATCACTTCTTATGCATGTGAGAGCTGGACAATGAATAAAGAAGACCAAAGAAGACTTGATGCCTTTGAGTTGTGGTGTTGCAGAAGAATGCTAAGAGTACCATGGTATGCTAAAAGGACTAACAGATCTGTCCTGGAAGAAATGCAGCTGGAATGCTCCTTGGAATCAAGAATGGCCAGACTTTGTCTCACCTGCTTTGGTCATACTGTCAGAAGGAACCATTCCCTGGAGAAGGATATCATGCATGGTAAAGTGGAGGGTCAACGAAGAAGGGGAAGATCCTCAATGAGATGGACAGACATAGTGGCTGCAATGATGGGCTCAGGTATAGCAAAGATCATGAGGCTGGCACAGGACTGGGCAGTGTTTCATTTTGCTGTGCGTAGAGTCGCTATGAGTCAGAGATGATTCAACGGCATCTAACAACAACACAAAAGAAAGGACCATGCTATCTCTACTTAAGGATTTGGGGGGGGGGGGGAAAGGAAAGAAAAAAATAGAAGTTTTAGTTTTTCTCCCAGCCATCTTGAAAAAGCTCAAGAAGGGACAAAATGAAGTCTCTTCCCACTCCATTCAATGTCTCTACAGTACTCACCTACTGACACTGTTAGAGATGGATGTTAGTTAATTTGATGAAATAACTTATGATCCCACTTACCTTGGTTAATTGTTCCTGAGGTGTGGGTGCTGGACTTAATCCACAAGCTGGAAAAACATCCCCTTCCCGTCTTACATCTAGAATAAGTTGTGCCACATAATTTTCCTGAAACCGTGTCCTTTTGCCCAAAGCACCTGAAAAACATACATAAATTTCTATCTACTGATTTGCCAATCAAATCTACTATGCAATCATAAAGTGATATTTCCAGAGTGCTTTGGGGTTTATAAAGTGTTTTCCCCATTTTCATATAAGAGAAACTTGAGGCTTAGTGTTATTAAAATGACTTGTAAGATTATAAAGCCAGTAAGCTGTTGTGCCAGAACTCAAAGTCAGAATTTCAGCTACTAGATTCCATATATTTGCTCTTATAGCAAACTACATCTCTCCTCAAAAAAAAAGTAACTCATTAAGTATTATAGGTAGAATAAATATTATTATACCACATGTTAGATGAACAAAAGGGAGGTTCTAAGGTACAGTCAATTGCTCAAGATCACGGCACTCATCAGTAGCAGAGCCAGAGCTTAAAGCCAGGATCTTCAGGTACTAAATCCCACAGTGTTTTTATTATACTATCCAGTTTCATGTAACACAAACTTTCTTTTCATTATCTTTCTGCAGAATAGCTTATTTCAAATCACTTTATAGAAACAAAAGTTCCAATATCCATTCTCTGGCAAGACTTGAATTACAAAGACCCTTGAATGTCAATCTAAGAAGTATGGATTTTATCCCATGATGAGTCTGCCTCTGAGTTATGCATCAACCCTTTAAACATGTTACGCTAAATACAGCTACAAAGATAGTTTAATACAGCTTACTTTTTTGTAGTAAGGCTACAATTGAATGAAAATATAATCTGATTTTCACTTTATAATTTTGAATACCACATCTGTATTTTTTAATTCTTCATCCCTACTTTAAAACCTATGAAGAACTGGCTGATAAAGGCACCAACAGTTAAAGCTGAATATATACAATATTGTGCTGATAATTCTAAAAATTAGTCCCCAAAAAGTTCTCCTATAACCAAAATATTTAAAAATATAATCTCTGAAACAGATAGTCATAAAATATAATTACATTTTCAAATACAGATAAGACTACAATTTACACATGGGCATTGTTACAGAAGTTATAAGCTGTGTATTACATAATTTTCCTCCACACAAATAGTGTAATAGAAAGTGGCTACAATTCCAGACCAACCCAAAAGTTCTACTTATCTCATAATATAACTGAAGGACTTAATCGATAGGACTAGCTCAAAAATAAATATGACATTCAGAGTCTGACAATGGGCTTTAGAGATAATCTACTCCCAGTTCAGGAGGACAAATAGGTTGCATATTTCAACATTCACCAACAGGTAGTCACAGCCTGGAACACTGAGCCCAAGTTCAACAGGTACAAACAATGTGATCAATTGGTGATGTCTGATTTTCATTCATTCATTCAAAACTGAATGTCAATTACATTGTGCGACACTAGGGAGAGAGCAATATGTAAAAAGAAGTCAATGTTTCTTACTTGAAATTCAGAAGAAACATAGTAATATAGGAAATATTCTGTAATTCATTTATTTATTCAAAAAATACTTACTGAGTGCCTATTATATGCCACGCAGTGTTTTAAGCCACTAAAGAAACATCAAGTAAATAAAATTGCCCAAAATTTCTAACTTCAAGGAATATGAAAAGGAACTCAAAAGAAAGCAGGATGGAAGCAATAGTTCTGGTCTTTATAAGAAAGGGTGCTGCGGACACGTCAAACTAAAACTAGTAACAAAGAAAGGCTTTAGGGGGCCTACCCAGAGCCAAATGCTCAAAAGTTCATTTGTGTGCTGATTGGGAAAAAATATTTGGTAATAACATATCTGACAAGGGACTTATCTCTAGAATTTATAGAACACTCCAACACCTCAATAACAAAAAGACAACCAATCCAATTAAAAAATGGGCAGAAGACATGAATAGACACTTCAACAAGGAGGATATTCAAGCGGCCAACAAACATATGAAGAAATGCTCACGATCATTAGCTATTAGAGAGATGCAAATCAAAACAACAATGAGATACCATCTTGCTCCAGCACTAGTATCAAAGTTCAACAAGACAGAAAATAACAAATGCTGGCGAGGTTGTAGAGAGATTGGGACTCTCATACACTGCTGGTGGGACTGTAAAATGGTACAACCATTGTGGAAAGCAGTATGGCGATTCCTTCAAAAGTTGGAAATACAAATACCATTTGACCCAGCCATCCCATTACTAGGTATATACCCTAAAGAAGTGAGAGCCATAACAAGAACAGATATATGCACGCCGATGTTCATCGCAGCACTATTTACAATAGCCAAAACTTGGAAACAACCTAGATGTCCAACAACTGAGGAATGGATAACCAAACTTTGGTACATTCACACAATGGAATACTATGCAACGCTAAAGAATAATGTAGAATCTGCAAAACACCGCATAACGTGGATGAACTTGGAGGACATTATGCTGAGCGAAATAAGTCAGTCACAAAAGGACAAATATTGTATTAGTCCGTTATTGTGAAAGTTAAGGAAAGGTTTCTATATTGGAGGACATTTTCTTTGTTGGTTACCAGGGGTGGGAGGGAAGGTGAGGGAATGCTGTTAGATAGATAGAGATAAATATTGATTTGGGTGAAGAGAAGGGCAATGTACCAAATGTGAGTGACCAATATGGCAGCATTGAGGATGAGAAAGACAGAGAGAGTTACATGGGCAGTACAAACAACAAATATGAACCCCTTTGCAAATACAATACTGAGTTGTCAATGAAAGCAAACATGGGTATAGGGACGGATAGATGGGTGAACAAGCTAAACAATTATGTATGTCTAAATGGAGAGTGTATCCAAGATCATATACAGGGTTGGCAGACAATGGGCCTCTCAGGGTGCAGAAGAGTATGAAGGGATGGACACTGGGAGGAGGTAACTATGGGGAGGAAGTGGGAGGGGAGCTGCTGCATTGTAAATTTTGGTCAATGACATGAGACAAAGTATATGTGAACTGCTGTATGAAAAGTGAATTTACTCTGTAAATCTTCACCCAAATCCTAATAAAAAAAAAAAAAAAAAAAGTTCATTTGTGTGCTGCTTGACTGCTATATATTACTAACATGTGTCTAACAAGATCAGAACAATAAATGGGAACCGCCAGGAACAAGAAAATGTATCATTACAAGTTTGTCCTAAAATTATGAATGTTTAAATAAAATGCTTAAAAACTATTTTTGGAAACCAAAGAACGGGAAAGAAAAAATCACATTCTACCAGGTAATACAACCAAACAGTTAATGTATGTATTTTTTCATAAAAATAAAACTAATTATGAAACGTAAAAAGAGTCTTACCTGTTAAATCAATTTGTAATTTGCTAATGTTCTTAGCAACACTGAAATGATCTTTTGATTTTTGATACTCATAATAATATAAAAATATATATGCACATTCCAGATGGAACTGAATAGCAAGGTATTGACCTGAGTCATCTCCAAACAGATTCTCTAGTTTCATCACTGCAAGACAAAAAATGAAACATTAAAAACTGTTGAGATAAGAAAACTACGAGAGTCAATAAATGAAATTAGGCAAAGCTCTAGTGTACAAAACCAATATGCCAAAATCAGTTGTGTTTTTGCACACTAGCAATCAGATATCAAAAGGAAATTATGAAAATAATTCCATTCACAATAACATCTGAAAGAATAAAATATCTACACATAAATTTAACCAGGAAGGTAAAAAACTTGAACATCAAAAATTATAAAACATTGCTAATAGAAATTAAAGACATAAAATGGAAAGATTTTCATGTCATTGTTTGGAAGACTTAACATTGTTAAGATGTCAATACTACTTAAAGTGAGCTACAGAGTCAACAAAATCCCTATCAAAATTCCAACAGCAGGAGGCACAGCAAGATGGCAAAATTAATGCCCTCCCCCTCCCTCACAAGTAATCCCCTGAACAACAAATAAAAACAAGCACATACTGAGACTGCAGAACTCCTGATGGCAGCCTAGGTGTTGGAGAGTCAGGATGAGTCCAACAGCAGGGAAGAAGAGCAACAGGGAGAACCCACCCACAAATATTGCCAGCACTCTCACTCATCACAACTATTTTGGGACAAGGCTGGTTAACACCCAAACAGGGAACACAAGAAAGGACCTAATCTGAGAAATTTTCTAAGGTGGCGCAAATTGGCTGTGGGAGTTCATGAGATACGCAACTGGGACAGGGCGAAAGAGGATCATGGCACCACAAGAGAATTCTGGTGAATCTCACTGAGTCTCAAGACAGATTGTCACCAGAATCAAGAAGAACTGCAAGCGCAGCAAGGCGAGGTAAACACTGCAGAGTGACAGAATGTAAAAAAGGAAAACAGGGAACAGCCCACAGCAAGACACCATGGATAAACCTGAGCAGGGGTACCCAAGAGGAAAAGACACAGAGAAACACCCCGCCACCTTTGCCACCAGAAAGTCAAGCCCCATCATTTACATCAATCAGTGTCTGTGACCAGCTAAACACCCTCCTCCTGCACATGAGTACTGAATTCCAGAAATCAAGTATCGAGAATTTCTACATCAGCACTGAAAAAAAAAAAAAAAAAAAGGATAAGAATGCCCTCTAGTGATACTCAGGAGAAGGTATCAAGCTCACTACCACTGGGTTGATTCTGACTCACAGTGATCCTGTGGGGCAAAGGTGAACTGCCCTTTGGGTCCCTGTGGCTATAAGTCTTTGCAGAAGTTGGCTGCCATATCTTTCTCCTGCTGAAAGGCTGGTGGGTGAGGACTCCAGCCTTTCAGACATCAGACAGATGCTTGGCCACTGTGCCACCAGGGCACTCAATCAGAAAAATTTCCCGTAAAAAGCAGCATATAAAATTTAAGTAAAGAACTAAAGATAACAAAGTGGCCGAACATTAACAAAAAATACTAAATCACAGAAAATCACAAGTGAAGAACAACAGTCAAAAGGAAAATATGAAGAAGAAGAAAGCTCTGTGGAGGCCAAAACAATGCAAAGAATTGGTAATTTTCAGACCATGGTGCTAAATATGTTTAAGAAAGCAAAAACTATGCAGATAACAAGTGGAGATTAGAAAACAACAGGAGGGGGTTTTGGCAAGATGGCGGACCAGGTGGAAAGACTGCACAGACCCTCTTCAACAAAGAAAAGGGAAACCAATTAACACAGACACAGAAGGTAATCCTGGACCCCTGAGCCTTGAAGGGAAGGATATAGAAGTGGACTAAACCCCAACTAGCAGAAGAATTTGCATGAAAATACCAAAAAAGGAGACAG